AAGGCAGACAAGATCATGGATGATCTACATTGTTGTACCCCAAAATTTGACCTCTCATTTTATCAAGATTTTCCTCACAAGACTTCTTGGACTCAAGACAAGATTAGGGTTTGCTCAACTCAAGACATCATCTTGCACTAATGACCTGAAATTAGGGTTTGAGTTTGCACAAGGATTTTTGGACCACCAATGCTTCATGTGACTTTCATACACCATCTTGTACCCATACGATTTCTCATACCAAGTTTCAAGCCTTGAATCACATTTTTGCTCAGTCAATTGGACAGTTGACCTAAAAATCAGCTGTATTGGGGAAAAAGTCAACCATGGCCAATTTACAGTCAAACTTCATAATTTTTTATCCACAAAAACATTTTAGGCTCCTATGTACCATTTGATCAAGTTTGAATCACAACTCCTCAAGAAATTTGATCAAATCATCAAAAGGGCAAAATGGTCAAAATTAGGGTTTTGATTGAGAAAGGGCAATTTCTGATTTTTAACCTAGCCAATGACCAATTGGGTTCAAGCATGATTTCAAGGACTCAATGGCACTATATTGACCTAATTTCATAGTTCAAAAGACCTCAAGTTCATTGGATTGACAGATGAATTTTGCAGTCAACTGATCAAAAGTCAACTGTACACTGAAAAGTCAAACTTTGACTTTTTGGTCAAAATCAAGTGCCAAGGGTCATAATTCATCAAGACATGTCAAAATGTGAAACTTGTTGGCCAAGAAACCTAAAATTTCAAATTAGGGTTTTAATTTGAAATTTTTCATAACTTAGAATTTTTCTAAGTATGAAAAATTTCTTATTTTTTCCTAACTTTGCACCATTTTTTCACCATGATGCAATTGGATTCAAAGAAAACTTCCAACATGAAAGTTGTAGTACTCCATGAAATCTACAACTTTGATTCACAAAGTTTTCCAAAAATATGGTTGGATCTCAAGATATAAATTTGTGAATAGGGGTCCATGAACTAAAAGACTTAGTGAAAATTTGCCCTAATTTAGGCAGGTTTTTGACCCAACTTCATGGGAATTTTTCACCTAGTTCCAAGAGGTATCTCAAAATGCATTTCAAAGATGTATTATAGAGCATGTTGCAAGCTTTCCAAAATGTCCAAGAACTCTCCAAGATCATTTGTGGTTAGGGAGAATCGAAGAAGGGAAGTTGGCATTTTGTCACTTTTGTTCAAGCCATTTTTACATGAGATCAAGTTGCAAATCAGATCCTAGCATGCTTGTACCTTGCATTACAGGTCCTAATCCCTTCTACACTCCATAATTAAATGCTAGCTCAGTGGTTAATGACATTATTTTAACCTTTGGAGCATTGTACAAAGAATAAATCCATGAATGGCATAAAGGGCACAATGCCATTTTAATAAAGCAAGCTTTTCCAACTTTATCAGCCTTGAGCCTTGGACTTCTTCCTTGAGTACAGGAATTTTCCATAGATCACAATCAAAGTATACCAACCCTTGCAGCTCACAAGATAGCCAAGTACATGCCTGTTAGCATGGTCACTTCAACCTTTCTTCAAAAACAAGAAAAGTGGCAAAATGGATCAGAACTTGTACAAATGCTAGAGAGTGGACTTTGTATCACTCCATACATATTCACAAACTTATCTCAAGCAAGAACACGAATGCTTATGATCTGAAACTCTCCCAAACCCAAAAAACACATTTTTCTGCCAAGACATAGCAGTTTCTGCAAAACTCCTGTCAACCTCATTTTGGATCGTGCGTTTTGCCTTTTAACCTTTGAAACACTTCATCCACATCATATCCAAACTATCCAAGCCCTTGTCCTGGTTCTGTAAGCCCTATTTCAGACATCACAATTTTCATTTTGGAAGGTTGCAACTTGACTTCTGTAGGGAGTTTCAAGCATCCTCAATGCAAGCTAAGCATTGGAATAGCTTGAGGGAACTTCAAGGAAGCTCACACGATCCTCAGGCCTCACTCAAACTCCCTACATTGCGATATCCAAATCCAGCTGAAGGAAGTATTTTTCAAAACTTTATCTCTTTATTTAGGCATCCTCAAGCCACCATTTGTGAAGCAAAAATGTAGTCTATAACATGGTGAAGCTGTACATATGCATAGTTGTCATTTATTTTAACTGAGCTAAGAGAATTTGAATGTTGAACATGCTGAAAAAATTAGGTCAGAAATTAGGGCTATTAAAATTCTCCCTAATCTTTGAGAGTTAGATTATGAATTTTATATCATTGGAATCGTGAGATTCCAAGCTACATTTTTTATGTTGCAAGTTTTTGTTTTTGTGCAAAGAATAGAGAGTTGCAGGTTTGTACATGGAACGCGCGCAAGCTGAAGGACAGGGACGAAGTGGCTGGCTTGGGCTTTTTGCATTTCTGGCCTTTTTTGGTTTTGCTTTTCACACCCCCCAGTTTACTTTTGCACCCCCTGCTTCATTTTTTTTTTGTGCATATTTTCTTATATTTTTTTTTATATTTTTGACTTTAATATTTTTTTCTGAACATTAAAAATCACAAAAATAATTTTCTTAATTTATTGCAATTTTATTATTTTTTATTATTTTTTCCACATATAAAAATAGTTTTATTTTAATAAATAGAATTTATTTTCTTATAAAAAATTGTAAATACATTAAAATACTATACATTTTTATTTTTATTATTTAACACATAAAAATAATTATTTTCACACATATTTAATTTTTAATATTGTATATAAAATTACTTATATTTTCTTGTACAAAAAATAGACCAAATAATAATAGAAAGCATAATTTTCTTTTAAATCAAAAATTAGGGGTTTCCCTTTCAAAAATAATAATGTTATTTTTTTTCTTATTTTTTAGGATTTAAATAATTTTATTTTTTCATACATAAAATTAATACAAGACATTTTTACATAAATAAATTTTATTGCATATCTAAATATTTGTATATTTATTTATCTTGTACAATAATTCAATTGAGTTGTAATAGTATTTTAGGGTTTTATTTTGTGCAAATATCCCCATTCAAAAACTTGTATCCCCCCTTCCCATAATAATTGTTATAATAGTTTAGTTTTATTTTACGCAATTTATCGCATTATACATGTTTAGTAAAACTAGGGTTTTGCATGATAAGACAAAAATCAAACAAATAACATGACCTAATACAAGACAAATGCATGTAAAATGACAACACATTGCACACAAGCACTCCTTAGGGTTTCATCCAATTGGTTGCCTAAACAAAAATGGCCATGGTATGCATGCTAAGTATCTTGGTAAAACAATACAAACAAATAAGATCATAGTCCCTCGAAGACGCTATCAAAAGGTTGCCTAAAATGAAATGATCTTGGTCCCTCAAACAAGCTAAGATACTTGGCAAAATTGCTATCTGTAGCGATAAAAAATGTAGCGGGGTAAATCGGAGATCGAACTATTAATTAATTCGTCTCACAAAAAGAAAGAGTCGCCACCGCACTTTATTATTTCCAAGGGAAAAGGGAAAAGAGCGAAATAAAACCCTAAAATATGCAATGTAAAATAATACTTTAAAAGTAATGAAAATACAAGGCGTTTTTGAAAAGAGGTCTAGAGTTCGGGTGTTGGTTATACAATGGGAAGGTATTAGCACCCAATGTATCTATAGTATTCTATAGGAACTTTTTGAAATATTTGTTTATTAAAAAAAGTTTGTTTGATTAAAAATGAATTGTTTTGGCCGAAAATGGGTATGGACGAGTTTTCAAAAATACGGCGACCTAACGTCGAAGTTTTGACTTAAAAGGTGTGAGTTTTGAAAAGTTTAATATTTGGGAAAATTATCCTAAGTTTTTAACAAAATAATAAACGGAAGATGAATGAGGGTATTCGCGCTATGTGTTTGATGACATGAAGTCGAAAAAAAATTAAACGATTTCCTTGGATTGAAACGGACGAAAGATATGCGAATTAACGATTAATTAATTAAAATTATAATTAAACAATTAACTAATGAAATTTAAATTATACTAGCATGCGTTTTAACGATTAAATAAATAAAAAGCACATGAAGATTAAATTACGAAATCACAAATTTTAAACACACAACAAAAATTAAATCATGAAACATGTATTTTTTTGAATAATTAAATAAAACAACAACACAAAAATAAAAAATAATAGTATGTTTAGAAAATTAAATAAAAGGTGAAATTTTAATTAAATGTGTTTTATGTTTTTTTTATAATAGTTACTAATTATACATCAAACTAAACTAATATTATTAATTATGTTAAATAATATGGCCAAAAGAAATAAAAGATAGAAAAGTGACCCAACAAGGACTTGAACCCAGGACACTTAGATTGCTGTAAACACCTTTGCCAATTAAGCTGTATTATTATTCATTAATTAACATGATTCAAATAAAACATAAAGGAAAATTGGAATTGGAATTGGACTAGAAACAGGCCCAATGGGCCATCCGGGTCAAGAGGGAAAAGGAAGAGAAAATGTAGAAACCCTAATGCACTAAGAGCACCGCGCGACTGCTGTGCATGGCATGGGGAAAAAACAAAATTTATTATATTTTATTAGTTGGGAAGAGAAAAAGAAGGAAATTATATTATTATTATTATTTTTGGGAAAAAGAGAAAGAAATAAGATATTATATTTGTTTTCCATAAAATAAAGAAAAGAACAGTAAAGGTGAGTAAAAAAACAAAACAACATTAGTTCTCCTTCCTCTCTCAAACACGTTCTAATCCTTCTTCCTCTTTCTCACAAAATAAAACCGCCCTCCTCTCTCTCTTCCATGTCATATCTTCTATCTTCCTCTCTCTCTCAGATCCAAATTCTTCTCCCTATTCTATCACGCCATAGATCCGTCCTTTCCCCTCTCATACGCATATCAACCTCTTCCTCTCTCTTCCTTTCACGCCATCAAACCCCCCTCCTCTCTTTTCTACAGATCTATCCAATATCCTTGCAAACTCAGCACCTTGATCATGATTTTGAGATGATTCAAAGCAAATCCGCAAGAACTCAGAGTAACAAATCGTATTCTCCGGAATGTCTCTCAGTTTCGCCTTCACCTTCTCCATTTGTGAAGCTCTTAAAATTCTTCGCATCCTCAACTGTTATTTCAGTTCCGGTACCACACGCCGGAGCAGACAACGGCGGAAAACCAAGACCGAAACAAACCCCGGTACCGGTAATTTTGTTGATATTTGAGTTTCTCCCTGAGTTTTTTTTCCACCGGTAGTGAGAGAAACTTCGGAAGCTTCGCGGTGGAAGTTAGCTTTGGAAGTGTTCGGAGAAACTATGGCTTTTTTATTGATATAATAAAATATTTTTTGTACATTTGTAACAACAAATATTTTTGGCTTTGTAATAGCAAATATTTTTTTGGACTTTGAACAGTATATGGTTTCTTTTAAAATATTGGAAAAAATGTTTTTTTTTATTATTAGAACAAATGGTTTTTAAAATATTAAGAACAAAAATGTTTTTTTAAAATAATGGAATAAATGGTTTTTTTATTATTTAGATTAAAACAACAAAAAAAATATTTTTAGATCTTGATATGGGATAGCAAAATATTTTAAATATTCTAACAAAACTTATTTTTTTTAAATATTGGAACAGTAATATATTTTTTTAAATATTGTAACAAAACATATATATTTTTAAAATATGGAACAACAATATATATTTTTAATATTGTAACAAAACATATATTTTTTAAAATATGGAAAACAATATTTTTTTTTATAACAACAACATATATATATTTTAAAATATTGAACAACAATATATATTTTTAATATTTGTAACAGCAATGTATTTTGTGGACTTTGAGATTTTGTAAAGCAAAAAGGATAACCCAGTTTTTTTTGGACAGCAAAAGGTGTTTTTGGGACAGGAAAAATATTTTGGACAGCAAAGGCATTTGGACAACAAAGGTGTTTTTTGGGACATCAAAAATATTTTTGGACAGCAAGCTCTAAACAAGTTGGGACAGCATGTGATAAACAAGTTTTTGGGACAACAAAGTAAGCTTTTATTACACCTATTATTATTATCGATATTATGAATACTAACATGTTTAAATATTAACATTTATGCAGCAACTCAACTCAAATACAGTACAAAAAAAATGATAAAGCAAATATTACATGGCAAAGAAAAATGGTACAACAAATGATTCAAGCATGAACATATGCAACAATAGAGCAACAGTAGATAGAGAAGAGGAAAAGAATATACCTATCGGAGCCTCTCCGATGGGGCTTCTAATAAAAATGGTAAGCTTCCTTGACTTTGCTATCTTTTTCTCCTTGCTGGATTTTTCTTAGAACCACACTAATTTTCTGTTTTCACTCTTGCTGAAAATTTTAGAACAACACTCTATTTTTTCTGGTTTTTCTTACTTGTTGAATTTTCTAGAACAAACACCAATTTTCTATTTTTTCTTTTACTGCTGAATTTTTCTTCCTCCTTCTTTGTGTTGACAAAAGCTCTTATTTATAGTGGAGTGTGGAGATTTGAGGGGGAAAAAAACAGTAGAAATTCAAACTGTTTTGGCAAGCTATTTCTATACTTTGTTCTCACAAATTGCTTTAGCCATTTTGATACAAATTGCTGCTACATTGATGCAGATTGAAGCAGGTTTTTGGCAGCATTTGGAGCTGCTGTATGTTGCTGTTTTTTTACTGTTTTGTAGCATTTCACAACATTTCTCTTTGCTGTTTATTTCAGGTTATTTGGAGCATTATTTGACCAACAAAAATGCAACAAAATGGGATTGAAGAAAGGTTGCAAACATGGGCTGCACTAGCACTTTGCTGAATTTTTTTATGTTGAAAATAAATCTTGTATAAACTTGTAGCTTCTTGCAACTTTGTAATAAATTCCAATAAATTGTAACATTGAATAAATATGCATTCTTCAATATATTTTCCATTCTTTGGTAGTGATGAATAATCTTGAATCTTCACATAAACATGAATATTGATATATCTTGATAAAAATTCAAGATCTTCCATTTAGTTTTGGGAAATAATGGAATAATACTGGGATGAATTGTTGAATGAAGAAAAAAATAATAATGTAAGTCTTGGACTTTAATCTTGCACTTTTGTAATAGAAATCCAAATAAATCACATGGATTAATCTTGTAACCAAATAAAATTCCTCATGTAATTAAATAGAATTCCTCACTAACTTCTTGAAATAATGCTTCATGTATTTAAATAACCATGATGTAGATCTTCCAAAATAATCACAAAAATAATCTTGAATAAATATCTCATGTGATAAATAAATATTCTTGGATGAAAACTCTTGAATAGCTCCTCTTTAATTATCACTTGGATTCAAATAAAGAAAATTCCAAATATTTCGAATATTTCGAAAAAATTCTTCTAGAACAGTTTTGAATTTAATTATCCCATTTCGGCGAAATTCAATCCGCGTCGTGAGAAAATTTGCAGATGACTTTTGGTTCAAGAAATCGAAAATGACGGTATAACTTGGTTTTTTTTCTTGTATTTTAGAATAATGTGAAACACACATGAACCAAAGCCGGTAGAATTTTGACTGTTCTTCCTGAAAAATATTCGGAGAAAAACGAAGACCATTTGCTGGACAGAGTGTGGAAATAAATGCACAATTCTCTGAAATTCTTTGATGAACCAGTCTTTTGGAAATTAACGAACGACATCATTTCTATTCTGAGACTCGAAATCCTAATCGATGTACAACGTCTAATGCTCTTCTTTCAGACCTATTTTCTGCACATGAAAATAAAACAGCAAAACATGCACTTCGTGCTTGATTAGTGGTTAGTCATTCATAAAATGCTCACAACACTCGATAATCTCTACACAGTCAAAGCTTGACAGTGAAACATTCAAAACCTACCATATTCTGTGACCTTGATGTGTATGAAAAATAATGCAAATGAAGCAGGGATCTTAGGTAAAAAATTGGGGTATGACAGCTGCTCCTATTTAAGTTTCTTCTATCCGGAGATATGAAGATTAAAATCTTCGTCTCGACGAGATTGAAGGTACTTAAATACATAATACATAATTTTTGCCCTAAGATACCGCCATTATGTTTATGATATGAATGTAGTATTTAAATTCATAGAGAATGATACTGTATGAGACAAGATAATGCTGGAAAGAAACATGTACGCTGTTTGAATAAACAAAGTATACAACCCAAAATCAACGACAAATGTGAATATGCATGCGTGATATAAGTGTAAATGAGTAAATGAATGTTATGCTGACAAAACAAGCAGATGGAATATCTTGAAGATGATAAGATATCACGAAATAAAAGATACTCGGCCAATTTTAAAGAGATGGAAAATAATTGAAATTGGAACCAACAAGCAACGTCAGAGTGTATCACGCTACAAGGCTCAAGTCTTCTGAGGAGAAAAGTATTCAAATCCAATCTTCTGATCTCCAATAGGCCACTGACATGATACAAAGCGTACCACACTTCAGAAATTGCTCAAATAAAGATAAACGAAACAGCTTAACCGGAAATGCTGGGGAGTCACCAAACTTAGTACCACTAGAAAAGCAAGTTACACAACCAACACCTCATGACGATGAAAGAGAACATGTTCATCATGCAAGGATAAATTACTGTATTGTTTTGCATTTCATGGCTTAACCATCCTTGGAACAACTGTTAATATTCCTTCCAGTATTCACGACACATTTAAAGTAGGAATGCGTTAAATAACTTTGTTTCAAATATTGCCATAAAAGCTGAAATTTGCCCACAAAAAGATAAATGCTCAAATTTCATTAATAAGATGGTAGTTCGCTAACAACGCGACTCCAACGGTTTACAAAAGTTTGGGAAATAGTACATGAAAGAAAAAGATTACACAAAAACAATGATCACTATTCTCCCTAACAACTTTGAATTCCGAAATGTGCTCAAATGCCAAGACTGGTCTGACCAAAAGCCTGCCTAAGCCGCTCCTTCGGGTTTTCAACTTGGCAAACTATCAACTCAAAACTAGGCAAAATACTTCTTGACTGCATCGGCGTTCACGGCGCGCGGGAGTTCTTCACCGTCCATATTCGTGAGAATCATGGCACCTCCAGAGAAAACCTTCTTAACGACATACGGTCCTTCATAATTCGGAGCCCACTTGCCCCTAGGATCAGGTTGGAAAGATAATATCTTCTTGAGAACGAGGTCACCTTCTCTGAACTCGCGTGGTCAAACCTTCTTATCAAAAGCCTTCTTCATTCTCTGCTGATATAGTTGACAGTGACACAACGCTGTCAATCTCTTTTCTTCAATTAAATTCAATTGATCATATCTACTTTGACACCATTCAGCCTCAGAAAGTTTAGCTTCCATCAAAACTCTTATAGACGGGATCTCAACCTCCACGGGGAGCACTGCTTCCATGCCATAAACTAGGGAAAATGGGGTTGCGCCTGTAGAAGTTCGAACTGAAGTACGATATCCATGTAAAGGAAATGGAAGCATTTCATGCCAATCTTTATAAGTTACCACCATCTTCTGGACAATCTTCTTGATGTTCTTGTTAGCAGCTTTAACAACCCCATTCATCTTCGGCCTGTAGGGAGAAGAATTATGATGTTCGATCTTGAATTCTTCACAAAGCTCTTTCATCATCTTGTTATTCAAATTCGAGCCATTATTAGTGATGATCTTGCTCGGGATGCCGTATCGACAAATGATCTGATTCTTGATAAATCTGACTACCACCTGTCTGGTTACATTAGCATAAGATACTGCTTCCACCCATTTAGTAAAATAATCAATCGCTACCAAGATGAAACGATGACCATTTGAAGCCTTGGGTTCAATCATTCCAATCACATCAATGCCCCACATAGAGAAAGGCCAAGGTGAAGAGATAACATTGAGGAGGGCCAGTGGCACATGTATCTTGTCCGCATAAATTTGGCATTTATGACATTTCTTCACATATTTGCAACAATCAGATTCCATCGTCATCCAATAGTAGCCAACTCTCAACATCTTTTTAGCCATTGCATGTTCGTTGGCATGAGTGCCAAAGGATCCTTCGTGTACTTCTTACATTATCATGTATGCTTCATGTCTGTCTACGCATCTGAGTAGGACCATGTCGTAATTCCTCTTATATAACACTTATTCATTGAGGAAGAAACTACTTGCCAATCTCCTCAAAGTCTTCCTATCTTTATTGGATGCCCCAAGCGGGTATTCTTG